GGTGGGTTGACAGCGGAGGGGCTCTCAATCCCTCAAGCTCAAGTTCAGAATTTCAGGCAAACCCATGGGCCATTGTGTGCCTTCTGTGAGCCTAGCACTCTGATAGGCACTTTGAAGGATTCTAAAATGTTTAAACTTAGACTTTGCTCTGAGGGAAGACGTAATCTAGTTGGGGAAAACAGCTATGGTCCCAAATGGCAGGTGTCTTATTCCAAATTGTTATTTTGCTTTTTAGAAACTAGAAACACAGTTCCCATCTCAACAGCGCGAGGTCAGGTGTCCCGGCCAACCCACTGCGGCCTATTAATTATGGTGATCACATGCTCTGGATCCCTCTGAGAGCTAAACTCTCAATGTTCACAGGACTGGGTCCTTCTTAGCCTGTGGAGCTTGTCAGACTTTATCTCCTCAGAGACACTCCCTGCCCACCCAGTCTACAACCCAACAGCCTCCTCCATCCCAACCCTCAACCTAGGTACCTGCCTCGAAATCTGTCATAGCATTTATTGCTATCTGAAATAACCTCATGTCCCCGTAATTATGTGCCTCTTTCACTAAAATGTCCCTCCATAGGACCCTCCATTTCTTTAACAAAGAAGTGCCCTAATAAATATTTTTAGGTGCTTGAATGGTGAATCAGAGAGTGAGCTAGGAAAAGTCACTTTCCCAGAGAAGGCATGATGTCCATGACAAGCAGATCAACACGAGGCTGATTGAATCATTAATATCTGAAGAAAGAATGGGCCAGGTGGAGGATACTAGTCAGCCATGGACATGTGTCCAAGGTCTGACCTACTCTCTCAGGCCAACAAAAACATACTGCGGATACAGAAAAGAACGTATCACAACTGGGGAGACAGACACTATCAGGACATAGGATACTGAGGTCATTAAACACTTCAGTTATGGAACTCATGCCCTCTGCCGTTTCTATGTTCACCAGGCAACCTTCTGATGATGCAGGCTCTCGCGCAGCTGCTAGACCACATGCAGGTCAGGATGATGCAAATGTCCAGCCCACCCCTGGAAATCATGAAACCGATACTCTGGATTACCCATCAGTCAGTCTCTAGAGTCAGCCTGATCCAGCATCCCTGAATCTGGAACTCTGGAAGAATATTTAGATCACATTTCCAGTGTGCAAGAGAGGCAGCACCAGGTACTGGTTTGAAGTTTCGTGGGCTTTGGGAGATGGTAGAGCACACTGTTAAAGAGTGGGTCCCTAGCCCAGAGCGGCCACTTACTAGCTGCGGACCTTGGGCAAGACATTAACATCTTGGCATCTCCGTTTCCTCATTGTCAGTGCGAAATAATAATAGCATGTATCCCAGAGAGTTGTGCAGATGAAATAAATTAGTTCGAGTCAAGTGCTTAGAACAGTGCCGGTCACTGGGTAAGAGCTCAGGAGGCTGCTAGTATTCTTTGCTTCCCAGCTCCTTCACTTACTAAGAGGTGTGGTTTGGGCTCACTCCGCCTCGGTGTCTTCCCCCTGAGAATAGAAACACCACCTCCAAGGATTGTTGATGGAATTAGAAGAAATGGCACGTGTTAAGTAAAGTGCGTATGTAGCTTAAAGCCTGGCAGATAGCCAGCACTCAACAACAGGCAATTTCCCATTTGGTTTGTTTTTGCTTTGGCAAGGTCCAAGCCCTGACCTGCAATGAATTCACCGTGATGTCACCTTGTTTGTCTCTCAGAAGCCACCCATTTGTCCTTCCCCAATGACACTCGGATCTCGACACATGCTTTTAAATAAACTTTTAAATGAGGTTCACAATTATTCCCATCAGTGGCAGTGGTATCAGAGGAATCAAGAAAATATATTTAGTACCTGTATCCTGTCATCTTTATATCTGCAGAATGATCGCAACATGCAGAGCTGAACATGACCTTAGACATTATCTCACCCACACCCTCACTTTTAGTGACAAAGTATTCTCTGAATCACAAATGGTATAAATTAAGTTTAAAATAATGCTTTAAAAATATTTATCTTGTTCTTTAAATTTTCTAGTGTATGATTTATAGCATACATAACCTTAGCATATATATGTACATACATGTATGCCCAAACATTTTTTATTCAAGAAAATTTATAGGCCACGGCTTTATTCCATTTAGAAGAGGCCCTTTCTATTCCGTTCCCCTTACTATTCCATGAGTCTCTAGATGGCAGGGACCACGCCTTTTGTGTTTCTTTCCTCGAAAAAAAATAACACCTTGGGGAACATGCTCCATTCGGCTTGCAGGTCAGTAAGAATCCTTGAATGAACACACCTTGGCTCGATCTGTGTCCCACCCTGCTGGATGTACGTGTGCAGTGGGCATCTGATGACTTCATCAGCCTAGCACTTCCTCTGGGCATATCACCTCGTTCTCTCTGGGGACTTCTCCAGTTCTGGAAGGACACATAAACAGCTCCTAGCAGTGGATGCTTCTTAACAGGGAGTCTGGTAGGAAAGAGTTTTACTCTTCGTTGTCTTTTTTTCCCCCCCATTTAAATTTTTACTATGTGCATTTTAAATTAAAAGTTAATTGACAGATTATCAGAATAAAAACCTGCCCCAAGCAGGCCCTGTTCTGCTTCAGAAAGTGGACTACAGAGTCTAGACTGAGGATCCTTGCCACCTGCGAGAGGTTCACATTGAGTGCCACTGCCTTTGATCAGCTCGGGGCGGCAGAGCTCACTCTAGAACTCTCCCAGGGCCAGTGATGGAGGCTGGGGTGACTCGACTCCTAGTGGAGCCAAGGGGCTCTTGGGGACCAGGGATCCACCAGACTGGGACCCAGGGAACCAGATACTAAGTATCGGCCCTCTTACTTGCTCAGTCACTAAACCTCTTTGGGAATCAGCTCCTTGAGGGTAAAATAAAGGGATACACTCCAACTACATGCTCAAATGATTCAGGCCCATGTCTCAATAGCATTGATTTCTCCTTCTCCATCCTCTGAACAGCCAAAAGAAATTTTTTTGTTGTTGGTCTCCCCAGGGAACCAGATACTAAGTATCGGCCCTCTTACTTGCTCAGTCACTAAACCTCTTTGGGAATCAGCTCCTTGAGGGTAAAATAAAGGGATACACTCCAACTACATGCTCAAATGATTCAGGCCCATGTCTCAATAGCATTGATTTCTCCTTCTCCATCCTCTGAACAGCCAAAAGAAATTTTTTTGTTGGTCTTATTTTCCATGATTTAGGTTATGAAAATACTCGTTTTCTGCATATGCTTTTGGAAAGCTGAATACTGCCCCCTCCCAACCAAAACACCAAACTGAAGGGCCTCTTCTGCACTAACAAAACTCCGTTGAACATGCCTGCGTTTCATTTCTCATTGCAGCTCGTTTTCTTAAGACTTGCCGCCTTCAAAAAGCAGTATGAAGAAAAAAACATCCGTGAGTTGGATTCCAGTCCAACAAGGCTCTCCCGTACAAAGCCGCGCTGGAGAGCCCTCGGCCTTGCAAACGTGCAGTCTGCACTCTGGACACCTTTTATTTAGTTTTAAGAATTCCCTTTGCATGTGGCAAAAATGGGTTTGAGGAAAACAGAGCGGGACAGATGAGGGGGAGGCGGAAGCAGAGCGCTCACAAACGTGGTGCCGGGAGCTGGATGCCACCTGGGCCCCCGGCCGAGAGAGAAGCGGGATCGACGGAAGGAGCAAGGAAAGTCATTCTCGACACAAACCAGGGTCCTGGGGCATGCCGCCCCAGCCCAGGGCCTGGCCATGCAAGATGCAGAAATGGAGACTGTGGCCTCAGGACCACAGAGCATTTGCACCAACACGAGGAGTCCTTTGGGTGCCTCCTGAGGCACCTGCAGGGTCTGGAGCAGCGGAGGTCTGTGTCCAGGTCCACGAGCACGTCAGTTGACAGATAGCACCAGTTGGGAGGCTCAGGGCAGGAGAGAGGCTGAGGCTCTCAGCCTCTAGCACCCACTTGCCCGGCCCTCCTGGGAAGAGACTCACTTCCTTGAGGGCTGCTCCTGCAGCACGAGGCTCTCCCTCTGCCCTGGGGAAACTGGAATCGGAGTGAGGTCTGACCCAGGGCGCCTGCTGCTCTGGAGGGCCGGGTCACGGCTGCGCAGTGAGAAGATGCTGCTGCACCGGATCGGGGGCCGGGAGGTGGAAGGGCAGGCCGAGGGCCCACAAAGGGGGCCCTTTCGGAAGCCCAAGCAGGGGCATTTTGCAGCCGATCTGTTCCCATTCCCAGGAACCCCAGGAGTTGGCCCCGTGCGCTTCTGGTTATTTTGGGTAGGTCAGGGGAAAGGGAGGAGAGAGAGACCAGGAGAGGCCAGACCAGAGAGGTCTCTCCAACATCGGAGGTAGGCAGTGTGCGGTGGGGACACTGCGCTGGGGTCAGGAGCCCTCTCTTGTATGAATTTCGCTACACCATCTCACCTGCGTCTCCTTTCCCGTTACCAAGTCAGGCAAATCCTACCCCACTTACCTCAGAGGGATAGGCTAAGGGTGAAAATAGATAACGGATAGAAAACACGTTTAAAAAAGTAAAAAGCGCTATTCAAACGCGAGGCAGTGTTGTCGTCATAGAGATGGTATCCCTCGGCACGTCCTCGGCGCAGTCACACCGTCACTTCCTTTTTTGGCGTCTCACCCTCAGGACCTGATTTCCTGACCTGGGAAGGCTTCGGAGATCCCCTGGGCAGTGACAAGATGCTGCTGTATCAGCTGCTTGCTTCCGCTGATCAGTCTGTGACCCCAGTGGCCAAACCGGGCACTCTAGGTGTCCCGGGGGAGTGCCCGATGCTCTTGCTTCATTCCTGTCCCGCTGGCACCTTTCCTGCGGGAAGCCACTGAGCCGGCCCCTCGGGCCACCCTACGAGATGAGCTGGGGCGTCCATTCCGGCGGACAGGTCCAGGGCGCCCCTGCCCAAGCCCCGGGGGGCCTTGTTTGGAGTGCAATTCCTGCTCCCGACTTCCAGCAGGTGGCGGGTGGAGGGAGGGAAGGCGAGCCGAGATGGTGGGTCCTCAGGCCGCCCCCAGGCCTGCCCCACCCCTGCTCCTGCCGCTGGGCCCTCCCCTCCCCCAGCCCAGCCCTAGTCTCGCTCGGGCGGCGCCTGGATGGGCCGCGGGGCGCCGAGGCCCGGGCCCCCGCCGTGCACGCGCAGGTGGTCCTTGAGCGACTCCTTGTAGCGGAAGCTCTTGCCGCACTCGCCGCACGCGTAGGGCCGCTCGCCCGTGTGGATGCGCTGGTGCTTGAGCAGGTTCTGCTTGCGGATGAAGCTCTTGCCGCAGAGCGCGCACTGGAAGGGCCGCTCGCCCGTGTGCAGCCGCTGGTGGTTCTGCAGGTGCTCCTTGCGGCTGTACGTCTTCTCGCACTCCGAGCACTTGTAGGGCCGCTCGCCGCGGTGCGTCATCTGGTGGCGGATGAGGCCCGAGTGGCAGTTGAAGCTCTTCTCGCACTCGGCGCACTCGTAGGGCCGCTCCTTGGTGTGGCTGCGGTGGTGGATGATGAGGCTCTTGCGCACCCCGAAGCTCTTGCCGCACTCGGGGCACGAGTAGGGCTTGCTGCGCGCTCCGTGCAGGAGGCCGCGCCGGAGCCCGCCCCCCGGGCAGCAGCTGCCG